GAAAATAAAATTTGAAGCTTTTTCTTCAAAATTAAAGCATTTCTTTCATTTTTTCAGTTTTAAGTATTTTTATGCTTAATTACATTATAATTAAAAATAGGTGGTCGTTAAGTTAAATATAATTTTCATTCCTACACTGAAAATTAAGCTTGTTGCCATTTTATAGTAATTAAAAATATAGAAAGGTTTTTATAACAAAATCATGCAACAGATGATGCCACACAATTTTATTCAGTTATTCTGTAATTAAAATTATAAAAGTTATTTTCTAAATAAAATCTCATAACAGCCAGAAAAGTTATGCACTCGTTCCTGGATTTTTTTCATTACGAAGAGTAATACATTACATTCCGAAGACTGGAGACATTTTAAATGACATTCATTCAGAAATGCTCCACATCACCTGTGTTCCTTAAGGTCCCTCTATCGATTAACCGAAAATATGAAAGTTTGCTCTCCTGCAATCAATACAGAGATAGCATTGATGAGAGAAAAGTGTTTGTGAAATACCTCTTAAGATGGAACGTTTAGAGAAACTCTTCAAATCTTTCTCATCCATCAAAATCAGTTTTCAACCATTTAAGTACATGGCTGGAAGCTGTATTCTACTATGCAAATCACATCGAAGCAAAAAATAAGGTTAATGAGACGATGTGGATAAAACAAACAATAGGTGCTTTCAGTAGTAGTTTCTACTAATTTGTCTATTTTTTAACTTTTAAGTATCTATTTTTTGCCTGTGTTTTTCCCTTATACGAACTTTTATGCCTATATGTTCTACACTTAGGAAAAACTAAAATTATCACTGGAATGTAAGTGCACAGGTCACCTTAGCGAATTATTAAAGGTCAGATTAGCAAGTCTATTCCGTAACATGAAAATTTTGAACTTTACCATATTAAACTTTAAAACACCGGTAGCTTTTCTCATACTGCAAACAACGTAAAAGATGATAAGACTGTGAAGCAGATATATCCAAACATACAGACTGTTTAACACCACAAAAATACGTAGGGATAACAAACGATTGAGGGTTCCTGAAAATAAATACAGAAAAGTTAAAATTTTTATAACGTGACGATTGAAGTTTACTAAAATGTAAATTACACAAAATACAGTTTACGGTAAAGTGAGTATTTAATCTTTTTCAAGGAGCAAATAAATAAACACTTTTAAACAAATACAGTCGAATTATTTTAGTCAGAACAGGTTTAAAAATTAAACTGTACTAAGTAGGACTTTCAGGCTATTAATTTAATTAACTACAAATATCCGATAAAACTGTATCGGATTACAGTATTATATAGTAAAGATTGGCTACAATATAAATATACTTTACGGTATGAAGGTAATACTTATCTAAATAACTCTAATTAATTCAGTTACCATATTTATTTTCCAGAATATAGTACATAGACTATGTATGATTTAGAAAATTGTATATTAATGTACTTCAGCTAAAGCTTTAAACTAAGTTTACAAACGCAATTAATAATATTATAAATGCGGGTTACAGTAGATTACACAAAAATAAAATAGAAAAAGCGCCGTAAATACTAGATAATGAGAACTTCCTTACCTCCGTGACCTGTGACACAAGCCACTGTCAACCAAGCAAATCCTACGGTCTAAGCAAATGGAGCAATGCACTGAAAGGCGATGATTATATCTTCGTTGGCCAAAATATTTTTCTTGTAACTACGCACTCCAAAAATAGATAATGTCATTAAGACGATGCATCCGGTCCAACAAAGTAAACTGGTAAACTAAAAATTCAAACGGGAAATTCTTAATAAACGGACTACGTAAAAATTTTAATTTAAAGTTACGTGATATTACTTTTTGTGAAATAAAAATAAATGTTTAGAAATTTAAAAAAAGAACGTCTGAAATGAAAATTTTGATATTTACTAACATCACCAGTAACACTCCTGTCAACAGCAATGTATCTCGTTAGCACCCTGAACTTAATTAATGAAGAGTTTACTCATTATTATCATTTACAATTATTTATAAAATTCATCACTATTCTCAAAATTAACCTTTTTTGTATTTTAAGTAATAAATATAAATAACATGAATGCTATTTTTATATCAAAAATCGTAACAGATGTTTCGACACACAATTTTATTTATAATGATTAATAATAGAAAAGTAATTTTTTCAACAAAATCTCATATCATCTGGGAGATATACGTAACTTGTTGCTGGATTTTTATCGTTCTACTCACAAGAGGAAATAATCAGTGTATGTTGTGTTAATTTAACAGCCGACAGAATTTATCAAAATAAGTCATGACAAAAATTAACAACCAAAGAACATCATCAGAATTCTTTGCTCAGAATAATAATCTGAAAATAACGCCAAAAGAACTGTTATTTTCATTAAGAAAATTTTTAAATGTTGTACTATTCGGCTTTAAATTAGTTTTAGTACAAAGAATCCCATCAAATAGTCAAAATCTAAATTACAGCATTATACAAAAACGTTTGTATCTTAGCTTATAATAAATTATATACCCAGGGTGGCCAAGCTCCTTGATAGTCCGAGCCATTTTTCAAAATTGAAATTTTTCGCGAGCCGCAATTAAATACGTATTAAAAAGGTATGCAAAAATTCCAGATTACAAATTATATCCGTAGCAAGAGTGATACAAATTGTTTCCTCCAGAGCACAATGTCAAACTGTCCGTTGCAATGACAGTTTACAAATTCAAAGTCGGTCTGGAGTCGGTCGATAACACCACTGTTTATGTTCGTTCTCACAGTTTTCGATGAGTCATATCATTTTTAACTTGGACGGAAATGAAATTTGTTACAACGTTGCACTTAGTTTTTCATATTTGTTGTTAGTAATTTAAAAGACATTTTGAAACACATACAGAACGATAATAATTTAAATATAATAACACAAAAATGAAAAGGGAACTCGGGTACATTTATCGAGACCCACAAATAATTCTTCGAAGAGCCGCATGTGGCTCGCGAGCCGCAGGTTGGCCACCCCTGTTATATACTTTTCTTATAGTAAAAGTTTACCAAACATAAATGTATTTGTATACTAGTCTAACAATTCTTTTATTATGTTCTAACTTTTTCAAGTTTGACAGCCGGATGGCTGAGCAATCAAGGTGGCAGCCTACCGCTCTGCCATTGATCCCCCCGTCGAAAAATTTCCAGGAATTTTTCGGGGGGTGGTCAGCCCAGATATGTCAGTTCCGTCCCTCACCACCCAGCGGCCCCATTGTGGGCCTGGCCGAATCCATAATGAAGTTGCTAAAAAAGACCTCTTAGTGCCCACAGGGTAAAAAAATCATAAAAATCCGATGGAGTCAGAATTTTTCTTTTGTAAGAAGAGGGTAAAAAGAGTTTAAAAAGAACTTTTTTCAAGTGTTAAAGGTGACTCTCGCTACAGATCACTACAGAACCGATGATCCAACGTCACCCAATCATAGATTTTCTAGTTCTTCGTAAACACGGGGCGAAATAGCCATCGTATTGATTACAGATGATAAGCTAAGGTAAAATAGATCTAGCTCACTCATCATTTCAGACTGAAACGATAAAATTTAGGAAAAAATTTCCATAAATTATTAAATACATCCGATGTTACAACAATAGATATTCGAATTCGAAATGCCAAAATAAGAACATTTTATTAAATTAAAGAAGTCAATAAAATCTGTTAATTTAAATGAAAATAATATTGTATGAACACAAATATTAGGCAAATCAGGGACAATGACATTGTTAAAGAATATGTCGTAAGATAATGGAAACTCCAGTCATTTAACTTCGAGAATTTTACAGAATAACTGATCGCGTATCGTTTAACACTGCCTCATCAAAAAAGCAAAGACTTTCACAAACTACACTTTCATATGTTATGTAAGTAAAATCTTTTATGACATATGGCTACGATGCCGATATTATATTAACACAAGTACATAAAAACTGCCAGTTATATGAATTATAAAGTAGTTAAACTAAGAAATTTTTTGAACTGTTATACTTTCTTCATTAATTAATGCCAAATCCGCCAACTTCTTGGTATTATTACAAGCTTATCCTACCGCGTTTTATTAAACTTTCTCATACAACATTTATTATATTTTCAGTTCACTTCAAAAAATATCTAAACAGGACATGTACAAGCACTTTCTACAGTAATATCCGACGGGTCCAAAAACTTAATGAAGCCATTTTTTTAACGGAATATTTAATCCAATCACAATTATATCAAATACAATGTGGCATCTTATCTCAAACGTGAAGAAAATGCCACCATGGCCTCATGTAGGCCTACAGTTTGTTAGCCAGGCCACAACATATATCATTATTTACTTATTATTACATTAGATATTTAATAAATGTTAAATTTTGATTAATGACAACATAACAACCCTACTTGTGTACCATAAACTTGCATTTTCAAAAGACTACAGATATATGAGACGTACAGACACAAAAGAAATCAAGAAAAAAACGTAATGTGTGCTATAAACTTTTCACTGGCCAATGATGTGCAGAATGACTCAGCAGGGCAGCCTTCAGATTGGCACTAATTTTAACTATTATGATAAATAAAACTATGTTTTTATATTGGAACATGGTGTATACTGTTTAAAATATTTAAACACTTCTCACCTGTTAACGTGTATTAAACTAGCTATCACATGTTTACAAAAACCAAACAGCCTCGCTTTGCACATGCATTCTCCCTGTAATTGAGATGTATTAAAATGACAATATCTGAGATTGTAACACTAAAGCAACAACATGAACTTCGGTGTTGTTGTTACAGTTTAATCCACAAAATACGATGTGTCCAGCATCCAAAACAGTTTTGCCTTCTACAAGACAACGTTTCCTGTTGCTGATATAGTATAGAATTTGACAAAATTCAATAATTTGTTCTCCATTTGATCATCGCAGTAGTCGTCACCGACAGAAACTGGATCGGCTCAGGCACTGAACAAACACATGGTCTGTTCCTTACCTGTTTCAGCAGCCATCTTGAGCGCCCTCTGTCGGATTTGGCGCCTGCCAATTGAGAAATCAGCTTCAGAAGTTGGTGTTGAAGTTTCAAAAATAGTGACCTACCATATCAGTAAAATTTAAGACTTCGAAGAAAGAAGGTATTGAGTACCAAATAGAAAGGTACTGTGAACAGTTGATAATAATGGACATTGTGACTTGTCATTACAGATGTAGAAAAAATTGAAACATGACATAAGAGCAGACATGAGTACTACAACTACACACAGACGCCTGAAACGCAACAACTTAAAAGCCACAGTTAAGATTAAAATGTCTAAACTTTTCAAATCACATAAACCGAAACGTCTTGACTTTACGAAACGCTACAAAGACTTCGCCTTCGAAGACTGGAAGAGGAGTGTATAGTCAGATAACACCAATCATAATAGGATTCATTCAGATGGACAAACTAGACAGACTTCATCGATGTGGTGTAGATCACATCGATGAAGTCTGAAATTGAGCTAGAACTACCAATAATACTGAAATTTGGTAGGGATAGCCTCACGATCCCTAGTATTATTACCTCTTTTAAGTCCGGAATGCTATGTTCTGTACCTAATAATATGTATAGTGTTATTTACACTTTAATTGTTGCAGGATGACTGAAACAATATAACATTGCACGATTGCAAGATTGTTTTTATGCCCAATCACATTACAAAACCTTAAAAGGAAAAAAGAGTCTACATAAGTTACAGAATTTTCTTATAAATAAAAAATATAGCTTTGTTTATATCAAAATTCTATCAAATACATCGTTACAGTATATTGTATGCTGCTGCTATCAATAATAGAATTACATTGCTAAGTGGTTAAGTAACGTTAACTGCCACCTGTAATATATTTTGCGTATTCACAGGCCTGAATGAGAAAATTTGATATTTAATATTTTATTACAATCTAAATAAAAGGGTCGTTAAATAACAGTCAGTAGACTGAAGATAATATATATATGAACGACGACCGGTGGTCATATGGCCTTGAACAGGAGACTATAAGACCATGGCGGCTATGTATATTACAAACCCGCTGTAATTACACGTGCTCACCTAATTAAAAGTTTTTACATCTATGTGTTAACAGTATTTTACAATTTGTTTAACTTTCTCAAAAACATTGGGTGGTGTCATCTGTTATTATGTTTTATTAAAACACTATTTAAATTTTTAACTACTGTATTATAAAATGGCAAAAAGCTTAATTTTGAGGACAGAGATGAGTTTTATAAGAAAATTTTAAATTCTAATCACAAGTAAAATTGTCAATAAGTTTGATCCTACTGGAGATACACACAATTCTATTCCCTCTCGACTTTTAATCACAAAAATTTAATACAATTAATCTCTATAACAAAGAAACGCCCTTACCAAATTTCAGAAATATTCGTCAAAAAGCATGGGAATTATTAAGCTTCAAGGAATTAAACAAAGTTGCGCTACGCAGTCAGATATACACTAAACTTTATAAATACAGTAAAAGTACCCCTGAAAATGTAAAAATCTTGATGGAAAGTCGTTTCTGACCGATCGTCATACCTTATCCCTCTGTTCTATATAACAGCTGGAAAAGTAAAAATATCTGGCTGGCGTTATTTTACGATAAAAAATAAATGAAAGGATTCGGGAATATACAGTAAATTTTCACTAACGTAAGTTAAACTTTATTAATTCGAAGCAGTCCTGAGCACAATATACAAGGGTTTCGGTATAGTACAGTCTCGTTAAGTGGAAATTGTAAAGACCGTAAACTGTTTTTCTGCTTACTCTCGGCACTTAAATAACTCCCTGATTTTACCTTATATCCATACATTTACATTACGTTTGAAGGTAGAAGATTAAGATCAATAAACACTAAATCTAAATCTATAGACCTATAAATCTTGAATGTCATCCATCTGTCTTTCTCTACACTCGAGAACGGAGTTATATAGATGAATGTAGAGACCATATATGGAAGTCTTTGGAGCAGTAGGCTCTGGTAACTGTATCCAAACTTCCGATACAAACCGGATGTCAGGTTATTTCAATTCAAAACTTTTTTCTCGAAAGGAGTGAGTTAGATGACAAGAACAAATGTATTGTTAAAGAGAAAGTACGATGTACTGTACGAGGTTAAATCGCTACTAATCTCAAGTATTCAAAATAACAAGCATCCATTGAATATTACATGCTTTAAATTAAATACATTAAAAACATTTAGAATATGACTGAAATTGCAGCCTGAATTATGCCAATGTCAACATAAATAATTACTTGTATATATAATAATAATATTAATAATAAATAATATAAAATAGAAATAAAATTAGTATACCTTTCCAAATGTGATCTCTTTCTTCTTTCGTAATATATCTCCAATTAATGCACCAAAATAATAAGTACCAAGATGGGAATAATATGGTTTAAGACAATTATAAGCAAAATATTTATAGGTTTCCCTAAAATAATAAATAAACATATAAATTAGTTTAATTGATTAATAATTAATTGATCCATTATTATTTGATCCATTATCAAATAATAAAGAAGTTAAAAGTTTATACTCAGTTGCTGCAGGTATTGCAAACATCACGTAATATTTGTTCGAAACTACATCAACTATATACATGATAATCCCTGTTAACATTGATGCAATTATGGTGAGTCTTCCAAATCTGGGCCATCTGCAAAATGATATTGAATACATAGCAAAGGAATTCAAAATATCGAATATCCCGTAAATAATAATATCTAAAAATTATATAAATAGCCTACTGAAGGAATAAAGTATTATTATTTAATGCCATCTTGACAAATCTTTAGGGTTTTAAATGCGACCAAGTTCACTTTGGTGTGAGATTTAGTAAGGAGCTAAAAACAATTCTTTAAAAATTAGTATCAAATTTTACCACTATTGCGCTCTTGGCGCTGCGAGCAACAAACATTCTACACTAGCCAGACTTTCACGCAATACAGAGGCATACTACTGCAAAAGATACTGCTCAACCCTTGTTGACCAGGGTACAGATCTGTAGCATTTCCAATTGTTAAGCAAATAGGCCAGGGTACCGATTCGTCGTTATTCTGCCTAAAAATCGATTTTTATGAAATTTATTGACAACACATGTCAGCACTTGACGGCAGTGTGTTGTCTATTGTCTGTTTCACATATTTTTGTCCAGGTAGTGTTTTGTTCACTCTAAATTTTTATCTAGTGCTTGTTTTTTTTAATTATATATTTTTTGATAATTTTTTATATCATTTTTAGCATATTTATGCAATAATATTACTATAATAAGTTTATTTAGCTATAATAAGTCAACATGTTATAAATATTCAAGTTATGACCTTCAGTTCTGACATTTTATATATTTTTTATTTTAATCTAAAATATAAGCAAATCTTACATATATTACTACTGGTAAATCATATGTTTATTACAAAAATTTATATTCTTGTTCCATATGAAGTGAATAAAGAATATTTGTTCGTTATATTAGTTGATAGCATAATAAAGTTTTGATTTAAAAAACAAATGTTTGATATACTGTGCGATAATTTCGCAACGAATAAAAGTACTGTACATGAAAAAATCTTTCACAGAGTTGTACAGAACAATATTCTACTCTTTCTGGCTCATTGCCAGCAAAAAATACGTAACTAAACAATGTTAAAACATTTGTCAAAAAGTTACAAACTATCCAGTTTAAATGTCAGTTCTTATATATATTATTCTTTTTTATATAACTTTTTTTAATAAAACGTATTGAAAAATATCGTATTTAAAATTAAAGATATTAATAAATGTACATAATTTTTTTTTCATATCAATATAATGATAATTTGATTTTTGGTGAATTTTTAAAATAATATCGCCTGACTGACCTTATCTGGCCTATATTGCCCTCGGCCTTTTTACAAACTACACACGTAAACAAGGGGGCGTGGTAAACAGTCAACAAAGGGTCGCTATGTGTCCATTCTGAAGACTTAAAGGAAATGAGTAATGTGCTTAATGGCCAAGCCTAATTTATCTGCGGCTTATTACTGACAGTTTGGTACTGTGTTTGGAAGCTGCTAAATTTTGATACTCGAATTGGATAAATTTTAATTTTCCAAATATTACCAAAAACCTAAAATTACACGAATTATGAACTGAAAACCCAAAAATGTAAGCGACTTTGGGAATTACAGTCTCTGAAAACTATCTCATCAAAGAGAATCCATTTCGAACCATTATGAAATAATTCCATACTTGTTGAAAAACAGAGTTAGGTACACTTAAGAGAAACCAATATACTTGCAATTATTCACCAGCATCATTCGTACCCAAACATGTTCCTTTGGGTATTCGCAAGAAGCTTCGCGACGAGTTACATAGATTAACCGTTGAAAACTTTTCCTGATCCACATAGCTGATCCGGAGTGGGATCTTTCTATCGTGCCAATTTTAAACAGAAAAGGAACAGTTTGGATTTCTGGCAATTACAAAAAAATTCTGAATAAAGCCGTGTGATCAGTTTCTTATTCCATACGGATTATAAACGTCAGTTTTAACATCATCTGCAGAGCTGCATGTTTACAAATTTGACTTAGTCCAGGCTTACCAGCTACTTACAAGTTAGAGTAGATGGCAAAACAGCAATAACCAAACAATACTGGTCAATGGTGGTGCTTTTAAAATTTATTGCTGCTCTAGCAGTGATTATTATTATCCCTTTGTCGAGCATGATTACACTGACGTTCCAAACGTGATTGTCGAACTTCTAGGCTTACAGGATGGCGGTGCTGAGCACACTTTTTTGCGTTGAAAACATCGCCGCAACTTCTCCATCTATACTAATATTATAAAGAGGTAATGTTTATAAGTATGTAAGTTTGTATGCAGCAGGTAATCTCCGATTTCAAAAATTCTTTCACCAATATTTAGAATAGAACTTCAGGGTGGACATAGGCTGTATATTATTCCGTTAAACATTCATATAAATTAAAAG